ATTTGTCTTTTCTTTCATCTTGTCTTCCATTACTTAATTGTTTGTTGTCTCCATTAAAATTTAATTTGAGTGTAGATTTTTTTTAGAGTGTTGAAAGTTAAAATCTTAATAATTAAATAATCAGATTTATGGGACATAAATATGCCAATAATGTTTGACATTATTATTTATCTAAATTATTAAATATAGAAGAAACACTATAATGTCAAAAATGGTTGAAATATTAGAACATTGAAAGTGGAAGAAAACCCCAAATATGTCGAACACTCTAATTTCCTAATTAATTAGTAACCAAAACAAATTTGTTTGTAAGTAAAAGAATAAATGATGTTGCATTGAACAATAAATAATGATTTTCACAATAAGTTAATGTGGTGAATATCTTGTAATCTTGGTTACTTGAGTACTGATAAATTACTTATTTGCCAATTTGGTACCGGGTTCAAACTCATTCTTTTAATGCCATTTTTTTCATTCTCCTTAATATGAATTTTATAATCGTCCACAAAAAATAGTAACAAAAGATGAAAAATATAGTAACCGAAATTATATATCTTTTAATAAAATTACATTTTTTTGGAAACATTTTATGATTCAAGAAAGAAGTCGAAAATATGTAGTGATTTGACTATGTGTAACCCATAGTGATTTGATTCAAACTATATGTGTGTGTGCGCTTTATTATTATTATTATTATTATTATTATTATTATTATTATTATTATTATTATTATTATTATTTGAATCAAACGCTCAAATGTATGGATTATTAAACCTTATAATACTTGATTATAACTTAGTAAAGTAATTTTGATTGTTAGTACTGATAGCGACCTTGATTCTATGTTATTGCTTGAAATAATTTATGGCGAGAGAAATATTGAAGCATTTGTGTTCTAAATGTATACATTGAAAGTCCATCGCTTGTACAATGTAATGTAATCATACAATGAATGACAATTATTATAAAAGTACTTGAAATTATGTTTAAGTAAACTCAATCAAGTAATCAGCAAAATAGAGTGTCACAAGAACTTTGTAATTATTTTGCTTTTTTTGGTATGTTTAAAATTTTTTCTAAATAAAGAAATTTCAAAATATACACATAAATCGGTAACAGAATTTACAAAAACAATCTTTTGAAATAATCCATCCTATATTACAACCAAATACATATTCATGAAATTGTGCTTTTCTAGTAACAAGATACATATACGGAGTTAAGGAATATCTAACACTGATGTTAAATACTCTATCTTGTTCTAGAGTATTAAGGGGTTGCCCTTAGGGATGTCAATGGGGCGGGGCGGATGTTGGCCTTCTCATCCCCATCCCCACCTAATATTTTCATCCCCATCCCCATCCCCATCCCCGCGGCGGGTCCAACTTTCATCCCCATCCCCGCCCCACCGGGTACAACTCCAAAACCATCCCCGCCCCCACCCTCACTTGGATATCCATCCCCACCTAATCCCCACCAAAGACCCACCTAATCCCCACCCAAGATCCACCTAACTAGGTGAAAATTGCTAATGGCCACTGATTGAAAACCCCCCATTGCCACCGGTTTTGAACCGGTGCTCATTTGGGGGGTGGCAATAAAGCATCTCATGGCCACCGGTTCAAAACCGGTGGCAATAGTCTTCATGGCCACCGGTTAACCGGTGGTAATAATAATTATGGCCACCGGTTAACCGGTGGCAATAAAAATGACGCGGTTTTTTTTTTTGGAGGGGAAGGCTGACTATTGCCACCAGTTTGAACCGGTAAACCGGTGGCAATAATAAGGATCTAATTTATTTATTTTTTTTGCCTGCAATTATTCCTACAACTGATCCTGCTATAATATTCTGCCATATTAGTGCCATAAATTCTGCCATAATATAATTATTATTAATATTCATAACAAGAATTAAAAATATATATTTAGACTTTTATAATTAAAAACCAAATGCAATACAACAAATTAAATAAAGTGTGATATACAAATAAATACAAACAATACTAATAACTAGTCAATATTGTAGTCTAAAAGTTAATAAATAACAAAGTATAAATTCAAAATGATGCCACATTTACAAATTGAAGGTGATGAAAGATGCCAACATGTCTCGAACTTCATTAAGCTCCTTGCTTGTTAACGGATCTCCCTTTTACACCTTGCAAAACTTGGAATATATATAAATTATGTTAGAATAAATTAAATTAATATGTAAAAAATTAAACACTTGGGAAAATTAAAAATTGTCGCATTTTCATCCAAAATAGCAAAAATAAGGCCTATTTGACTTCTACTTGCCCATTTTCTACATTTTTAAACAAATGACCAAGTTCTTTCTCATAACATGTCAATTATACTTAGTTATAGGTGGCTAAGCCTTGAAATCACAGGAAAAGGGCATTTTACTAAGTTTAAGGTCGCATTTTCATCCAAAATAGCCTAAAAAGGCCTATTTGACTTCTACTTGCCCATTTTCTACATTTTTAAACAAATGACCAATTTCTTTCTCATAACATGTCAATTATACTTAGTTATAGGTGACTAAGCCCTGAAATCACAAAAAAAGAGCATTTTACTAAGTTTAAGGTCGCATTTTCATCCAAAATAGCCTTAAAAGGCCTATTTGACTTCTACTTGCCCATTTTCTACATTTTTAAACAAATGACCAAATTCTTTCTCATAACATGTCAATTATACTTAGTTATAGGTGGATAAACCTTGAAATCACAGAAAAAGGGCATTTTACTAAGTTTAAGGTCGCATTTTCATCCAAAATAGCCTAAAAAGGCCTATTTGACTTCTACTTGCCCATTTTCTACATTTTTAAACAAATGACCAAGTTCTTTCTTATAACATGTCAATTATACTTATTTATAGGTTTCTAAGCCTTAAAATCACAGAAAAAGGACATTTTACTAAGTTTAAGGTCGCATTTTCATCCAAAGTAGCCAAAATAAGGCCTATTTAACTTCTACTTGCCCATTTTCTACATTTTTAAACAAATGACCAAGTTCTTTCTCATAACATGTCAATTATACTTAGTTATAGGTTTCTAAGCCTTGAAATCACAGAAAAAGGGCATTTTACTAAGTTTAAGGTCGCATTTTCATCCAAAATAGCCAAAATAAGGCCTATTTGACTTCTACTTGCCCATTTTCTACATTTTTAAACAAATAACCAAGTTATTTCTCATAACATGTCAATTATACATAGTTATAGGTGGCTAAGCCTTGAAATCACAGAAAAAGGGCATTTTACTAAGTTTAAGGTCGCATTTTCATCCAAAATAGCCTAAAAAGGCCTATTTGACTTCTACTTGCCCATTTTCTACATTTTTAAACAAATGACCAAATTCTTTCTCATAAAATGTCAATTATACTTATTTATAGGTGGCTAAGCCTTTAAATCACAAAAAAGGGCATTTTACTAAGTTTAAGGTCGCATTTTCATCCAAAATAGCAAAAATAAGGCCTATTTGACTTCTACTTGCCCATTTTCTACATTTTTAAACAAATGACCAATTTCTTTCTCATAACATGTCAATTATACTTATTTATAGGTGTCAAAGCCTTGAAATCACAGAAAAAGGGCATTTTACTAAGTTTAAGGTCGCATTTTCATCCAAAATAGCCTAAAAAGGCCTATTTGACTTCTACTTGCCCATTTTCTACATTTTTAAACAAATGACCAAATTCTTTCTCATAACATGTCAATTATACTTAGTTATAGGTGGATAAGCCTTGAAATCACAGAAAAAGGGTATTTTACTAAGTTTAAGGTCGCATTTTCATCCAAAATAGCCTAAAGAGGCCTATTTAACTTCTACTTGCCCATTTTCTACATTTTTAAACAAATGACCAAGTTCTTTCTCATAACATGTCAATTATACTTAGTTATAGGTTTCTAAGCCTTGAAATCACAGAAAAAGGGCATTTAACTAAGTTTAAGGTCGCATTTTCATCCAAAATAGCCAAAATAAGGCCTATTTGACTTCTACTTGCCCATTTTCTACATTTTTAAACAAATGACCAATTTCTTTCTCATAACATGTCAATTATACATAGTTATAGGTGTCTAAGCCTTGAAATCATAGAAAAAGGGCATTTTACTAAGTTTAAGGTCGCATTTTCATCCAAAATAGCCTAAAAAGGCCTATTTGACTTCTACTTGCCCATTTTCTACATTTTTAAACAAATGACCAAATTCTTTCTCATAAAATGTCAATTATACTTAGTTATAGGTGGCTAAGCCTTTAAATCACAGAAAAAGGGCATTTTACTAAGTTTAAGGTCGCATTTTCATCCAAAATAGCCGAAAAAGGCCTATTTGACTTCTACTTGCCCATTTTCTACATTTTTAAACAAATGACCAAGTTCTTTCTCATAAAATGTCAATTATACTTAGTTATAGGTGGCTAAGCCTTTAAATCACAGAAAAAGGGCATTTTACTAAGTTTAAGGTCGCATTTTCATCCAAAATAGCCTAAAAAGGCCTATTTGACTTCTACTTGCCCATTTTCTACATTTTTACACAAATGACCAAGTTCTTTCTCATAACATGTCAATTATACTTAGTTATAGGTTTCTAAGCCTTGAAATCACAGAAAAAGGGCATTTTACTAAGTTTAAGGTCGCATTTTCATCCAAAATAGCCTTAAACGGCCTATTTGACTTCTACTTGCCCATTTTCTACATTTTTAAACAAATGACCAAATTCTTTCTCATAACATGTCAATTATACTTAGTTATAGGTGTCTAAGCCTTGAAATCACAGAAAAAGGGCATTTTACTAAGTTTAAGGTCGCATTTTCATCCAAAATAGCCTAAAAAGGCCTATTTGACTTCTACTTGCGCATTTTCTACATTTTTAAACAAATGACCAAGTTCTTTCTCATAACATTTCAATTACACTTAGTTATAGGTTGCTAAGCCTTGAAATAACAGAAAAAGGGCATTTTACTAAGTTTAAGGTCGTACCTCATCAAGATGTATGGTGTCGGAACAATGAGTCGCTATGTCAAGCATGAATCTCATCACGTATAATCCACAATCAACTCCATTATCTTGTTGTGGGCACTAGCATAGGAACAAATCAAATGAATCAAACGTCACATAAAATCCACAATTGTTTTAGTAATGTTTATTAAGATAATCACAATATGATGTGGCATTACCATAGGTGATTTCCATGTAGGACCCCGTGGAGCACGACCATGTATCTTCTTCATAATACTATAGGAAAGTAAATTCAAATTTGATTAGTTTGACTATTAAATGAGTTTGGTTAAGATAATCAACACTAGGTAGCTATATTTACTTTTGTAGTACAGACATCACGAGGTACTTCTTTGTTGATCGAGCTGAATCAAGGTGAAAGATTGTGTTATTAGCAGGACAAATCACCATGAGGAACCAATGAAACCTACATAAATTCACAATACACAAACAAATCAATAATTAGGGTACAACAAATAATTCAAATGTAGAACTTATTGAATTACACATGGTTAAACGTACTCCTCATAACATGGGGCGAATATGAACTTGTCTCCCGCACGCATTGATTCCCGAATATTATGATTAACATAATACATCACCTCGGGGGAGTTGTGTAAGATTCTAGTCTCGGATGTCTGTTCGGGGCATAACCACCCAACTTTACTAGGGGAATCAGTGTCACTTAAGTGATCTCGTAGTGCTCTACGTGCATGTGCAATGAAAAATTAATTGACATATATATGAAGGATAAACAACACTAATATGAATAACATAATTAATTTAAGTGGCATGTGCCCGTACCTCATGAATATTTGAACGAGAGAAATGTTAAGCATTGAACCTCTTAAAAATTCCTTCACATCTTGTTTGTTTAACCATGCACTTGCATCCTCATCATATTGGAACATTGCCTTAGGAAGTGCAATTTCAATGGGATCGTCACTAGGCAAATGACTAAAACGATTGTGTAGAAAAGTTAAATCCTTAGTGAGCGATTGAAGGACATTGTCTCCAACAAGTGGAGTAGGTTGCATGGTTGAACCTTTCGAAGAATTCTTTTTCGACACTTGTTCACTCTTCGACCCTTGTTCACTCATCTTCTTTGTAGGTTGATCAACGCTTTTAGGCTTCACCACCTTCCTTCTCTTTGATGGTTGACTTTTTTTCGAAATCTGATCAAAACAAAGATAATTAGAGTTCAAAAATTTTTGGCCAGGGTTTAAGCTAATAAGTACGCATGCAGATTTGTTATTTTGCACAACATCAAAATAAATATTACCTCGTTGATCAACCTCACCCAAGCACGTGGCCATTGCACATAGCTACCCTTTGCTTCCCAAAGAAGAGTAATCCCATCATCCACTATAGGCACCGGTAGTGGGATGTTTTTAAACCCAGCAATGTAAGAATTGATCCCGACCGAGTAATGTTGTGGCCTAAGCGATTGGAAATGGACCGTATCACCAGTCGTCGCTTGTGCACTACCATACGCCACCAACTGCAACTCTCCTCCATTTGATAGCCCCGGGGCTAGAAGTGTACACTCGGTCTCTACCTACACCAGTAACGAAATTCACTTGTAAAAACTGAAATTATCAAAAAGGGTCTTTTCCTACACAATTGATCATGTAACGAAATTCACTATGTTAAAATCAAACACGCTCCCTCGAATCCTAAATTCACCTCTAAATCTGGAAATTCATGGGGTGTTGGATTATCAACCTCCCTCGAGTCCGCATGTGTGGGAGTAACAACCTGCAATAATTAATCAATAATGTCACATTATGTAACACCCCAATAATTCTCCATTTTCCGAACTACTTACTTTAAATAAAAATACAGGAGAACCATTGGCATGTTACCGCCACGTGTTAAAACGTTAAGACTTTATCAAAGTATTGCAGCGGAAATCCAACTTAGATCTTAAAATAATATAATTTAGAAAACCAATAAGTCAAAGCTTACAAATTGGAACCATAAAGGCCCTTATAAAAACCAAACCAATATTCCAAAATCCCAAAACATAATTAAAATAGTAAAACATAAATAAGTTCAACATAAAGAACGAATACTTTCAATCACACCAATCCCTTGACAATGCGTATGTCAAATCCCCGAACTTCACATCATCAAGCTAACCTGTGCAATACTGCTCCCCAATAATACAATTGTAATAATTGGATCATCACAGGGTCATTGAAAGGCGAAGGCCATGACCAAAGAAAGACACACACAAAAGCACGCAATCAGCAAAGCTGAGTACATACAAGCTACAACGTACCAAGCCTAGCATGCTCAACTAATTAAGGTAAATAAACATACAACATAAATTCATTAATCAAGACTCCACACTTAAACAATTCAATCGACTCAACATACTTGCTAATCAATTCCAAACACTTGACTCTTTATATTTAATTTAATTAATTTAGTTGGAGTAAGCAATAGACGAGGTTGTCCAATCCACCAAATCATTTTGGTCCCAAATGACCATTTAAAATAAAAGTTTAGCGCGATGCGAGAATGGGCGCGACTCCATTCTCACAAAGTTAGTCTAGGATCCCATCTAACTTTCATTATAAAAATAAAATGTAAATACCAAAAGAAAAGAGGACATGTTGATCAAACAAGCTTCGAAAAGCCACGGGCTACCACCGTGTACCCCAACCCATAATTGTCAATACTCCAGAAGTGCACGCTTTCCAGAGTTTTATTGCTCATCCATGTTTCACTTTACGTGATTACAATTTTAATTAATAGCCGACTCAATCAAGAAGACCATACATAACAATCATACATCAATTCACTTTTAATCTTATTTAGGACAATGGTGATCATATCACAAATTGACCTTTAATTCCATTAAACTTCCAAATTATTCAAAATTGTTGAACATAGTCAACCCACCTAGCCATTTCGGCTTAATCCACTTTTACTCAACATACTAACAAGTCATGCTCGAGTAATAAATAAAATAATAATAACCTTGTGGAATAATTAATAAATTCATTCCACTTAAACCATTCAATTCCAATCCTTTAATAATCCAAATGTGGTTAACAAACCAATCCAATAAAAATATGCTTGTATCAACGTTCCATACAAACAATTAATCCAATATAATTCAACATGCTTGCATCCATAATCCCATACAAACATAACCAATTCACCAAAACATGTCTCATAAACATAAGCACATGAATTAATTAAATGTATAACCAAACAATTTTCATCCAAGTGTTCTCTAATCATGAAACTAAGTTCTTTTCTTTGGTACCTAAACATGATACTACTTACAACGAAGTAGACATGTACGTACCTCGTATAAACAATTCTTTGTGCCATTTTTAATCACTTAAAAGTCTCCTAGGAAATAATCACCTCCTAGAAAACAACCAATAATCACAAATTAACACTTAAACAAATTTCCAGCAATATAAATTTGATTAAAGATCCTTAAAACTTCATTAAAAACATGTTTTTATGCTTAATTAATCAATAGAAATCCAATATGAACAAAAGCCCCAATTTAATTAGTCATAAGAGCCCTAAAATCCAAATTTAAATAAATTGAAACCCTAGGTTTTAAAATTATAAAATCTGAAAATTATAACAACAATTATAATCCGAAATTATTAGTTTAAAACATAAAAACATGATTTTGATACTAAAAATATAAACTTTATACTATAAAATCAAAACCCAAAACTAATCATAAACATTAAGCATAAAAAAAAACTTCGTTAAAAATCAAAAACTGCCCGAAAATCATATTTAGAGGCTGAGTTCAGAACCTGATCAGGATTAAAACGGGATTAATATTAACGAACCAAAATCTAAACATTAAAACACGAATTTACGTGTTCAAAATAATCTAGGATTAAGTTAAACTAATTAGTAGTATAATCACCAAAAATTCAAATCATCATTACTATAAAAGCCCTAAATCGATTGTTCATAAAAACCCTAAAATCATGATTTTCAATGATTAAAAACCCTAGGTTATTAAATTTACAAAATCTGAAAATTATAACATTTATAAAATCCGAAATTATAAAGTTTAATCATCAAAATACAATTTGATACTAATTAAATTAATTTCAAACAATAAAATCAAAACCCATAATCAATAATTATAATTACACAAATTAATAAAACAAAGGTGAAAGAAAATAAGACTAACCTTTTGTGTGGGGAAATTTTTGGGGATGTATGGGGTATTTATAGGAGAGAGGGTAGTAGGGTAAGTAGGGATATTGGGCCTCATTAAATTAATGGGTCAATTAAGAAAGTAAACTGGGTTTGGTTTGTTTGTTGGACATAAATTATAGAAGGAAGGTTCATAAAAAGTTCTTTGTAATAAAATCGTTTATCAACCCCAAAATTAAAATAATTTGAAACTTTTGAAATTAAATTCCGGAAAAATACAAATAAATATTATAAATAATATATAATTTCATTTATAATATATTTTAAAATATGGGGGATTACACATTAGATCTCACGTAACTCATAAGCTAGGCCAAAACTAATAGATAGAAAACTACCTCATGTATCTCCTCTTCTCCATGTCTCTCATCTTCTCCTTGTCCTTTTGGGTGACTACTGGAGTCGACCGGTGTAGTCGAGGGGAACGACAAGGGTAAGTTCATTTGCTTCGCCCAAGCATTGAATTCACCTATTAACTCATTGCGAACTTGTTCCTTGATGGATGCCACCTTGGCATCCAATTCTTCCGGTGAGTTAACACTTGCTCGAGATCTTCCCATTTTTGTGTATTCTGAACCCATCACCTTCTCCCATCCTAGAAACGTCCCTCCCATACCTACTACCCATCCTGGATGGTAGGGCTTTCCCAAAGCCAAGGTGAAGGGGTCTTTCTCTATAGTCGGGACCAGCTTGCCTTCAACAACTTCTGTAGTGTACTCAAGCTGTAGCATAAGAAAAAATGTTAACATGAATACATAAAATGTTTTTGTATGGTAAAGTTATGCTAAAGTTTCAAATAGCTTACAAGTTTATCCGCCACTTTTTTTTCCGGTTCCTTGATAACCCATTTTCCGGTGTCCTTATCAAAGGAATGTAGAGAACAAATGAAATCGCCAGCACGACTAACCAACGTAGTGATCGTGGAGTTGGAGGGTTCTGAGGATGACCCTTGAGTCAAAGTGGGGTATATACCCTCCTTCTTCCAAGTTTGATTCATTCACCAAATGTCTTGGCCCCCGTACGATGGCGGTACTCCTTCTTCAATGAATTTTCCTTGTTTTGCTCTCGAATTTCCTACATAAATAGTAATGTTAGCATCATTACTGCAAAAAGAGTCAATATGTTATACAATTCTCATTAGATTTAGTAGTTCTTACAATTGCTTTGGGTCGAGTTTTTTGAATAACAAAGTCTTTCCACTCGTCCTCCGTCACGCTTGGCCATTTTTTCCACAGTG